AACTGCGTGATGAGCAAAATAATACGAGGTAGGTGATTTAAAATCAGATTCAGGAACCGGACCATATGTTTCGAAGTAATATAGTCATTCATAAACTCAACATATTTCTCTTTGAGATCCGGAATTTTCTTAAAACGATTCTCTAATACGCAAAAAACGACGATATGCTTGAGAATAAGTATCGCAAAAGACAGGATTGGGTTGTCGAAACGGTAGAGGAACAGAAAATCTGCCTGTTGACTCTCGGAAAGTAAATGCCTTGTAAATATCCTCACAAACTTGATCGTCCTGGGACAAAAATGGCAGGTTTAGATATATTTTCGACTTCCCAAAATTTTTGTAAAAGACTATCTATGTTTGTATCCATAGACGTATGTAAAGAAGTAAAATTACAATTTGAAAGGGCCGTAGAGATTCGCCCTTGTAACACGTAACCGAAAATGGTTTCTAAAGCGACAGGTTGGTTTGGTTCGCCAAGAATTCGACCCGACTTTAAAAAGAGAGGAACTAATTCAGCCCCTATCAGCATGTCTATCGGACCTGGTTGATAGAATGTGTGATCTGCTAATTTCAGATCACGAATATGAGTAAGATCGTGAGGATTGATAAATACCTTAGGTTGATTTGAACACACCTTTTTCACAATTATTGCGTCCAACGAGAAGATCGGGCCGTCACGATCACATGGTTTAATATGACAGAACGTGGTACCCTGAGTGGTACACGTCGACATTCCGTTTAGACCTTCCACTGGGATTGATAAATTATTACGGGAAAGACCTAAGCGCCGAAAACAACTGTCTGAAATAAAATTAGCCATCGAGCCTGTATCCAGTAAGATACGAATTTTCTGAAAATCACCGTAGACATCTTTGATATGTATCAAACATGTTGATAATAATACCGATGAGAATTTTAAACGTGATTGTGTGGAAAGGTTAGCGTTTATTAGAGACGTCGGCGCAAAACTAGACGTAGAGGTTTGAGGCGTCTCTAATGTAGAGTTGTGGTTCTCATTAGAAGATTGTATTTGAGGAGGCGGTTGACTGAATAAACAAGATTCGTTGGAACTTGGATAGACATGAAGAAAAGTGTGATGTCGTGATTGGCAAACCCTACATGTGCTCGAAAGAAGCACAGTTTACGGCGGAGTGATATGCACTCAAACAGTTCAAGCATAAATTATGGCGTTTAGCCAACGAAATACGTTCTTGCGCCGTTTTAGCAAGAAAGGATGAACATTTATATATAGGGTGAACACCAGAACACGCGACACATTTACCTCCTTGATAAGTCACCTTCGGTCGATTGGTGGCACTGACAAAACTAGATGTGAACGGTTTTTTATTAGACTGATGAGAAAATGATCGCGAGTGAGACTGGGTAGAAGGGTTAATGAATTAAACTGAACCGACTCCAAAGCTATACATTGTCTTTCTAAAAATGAAACCAATTGCCTGTAAGTGGGAATGTCACAGCTTCGACTGTTTTCTAATTCAAAATCTGTACGAGTTTTATTGTCCAATTTGTTCTACGACATATTGAATAATAGAAAATCCCATTGCTCAACCGGAAATCAAGAACACGTAAAGCGGCAACATTTTCCGTGAAAGTATTTAAGAGATTTCTTAAATTAGAAGAAGTAGAATTTTTGATAACCGACGCGTTGAAAAGATCGTTATAATATTGGGTAGCAAGAATTCGTTTATTCTGATATCTTTTCCCTAGAATGTCATAAGCAATCTGATAATTTGCATCGGTCAGGGGAATGCCTTTAATAAGAGCCAAAGGTTTTTGACTAATAGACGTAATAAGAAAACGGAATTTTTCCACATCGGACAAATCGTGATTGTGGTGAATTAAGCTATTAAATAGGTCAAAGAAACTAGGCATATCTCGAAAATTGCCTGAAAAGGTGGGTATATTAAGCTTTGGGAGTCTAACTGAAGGCCTTGAAGATTGTGCACTTGAATGTGAGGAGATATTTAAAGAAGAAGACGAATCTCTAATTAAGAAATCACTCTTTATGGATTTTACTCCGTAATATGCCTGATCAGCGGCCACCCTAAACTTATCTTGCTCCGAAAATTCCTCATCGGTTATTGATCCGATGATCAGATTGTGAGCTGTATGAAATTCTTTATAAATAGATTCGATTTCTTCTGCCCTAGCTAATAATAATGATTTGACAGTATCATCCCTTGATGCTTGAATGTCTGCCTCATGGGCTTCTCTCAATCTAGAATAGCTGTTTGGCGCGCCAAGTTGGCTTTGTTTATTTTGCTGGACATTGTAAGATAAAAGACACGACAAAAGAGGACAATGCAAACAAAATTAAACAAATCGAACACAAGAAATGCCCTAGATTGAAAGAAGAGAAATGCGCTACCTGGTTTCAGACACAATTCTGAACAAACAAGGGAAGTATCGATAAAAGTAGAATAAAACTAATTCACAAAAATCAGCACAAAAAAAATGTAACAAATGTAATACAACGTTAATAAATCTTGTGTCAAAAGTGATATATATGAATAATTAATATATGTATGTATTATAAGATAAAATGTGTAATAAGTATAAAAGTACTACTGATATTATAAATGGTAAAAGTAGAAATAAATTAGAAATAAATTTAAAAATTGTTACATAAATATGACCAAATTTAATTATGTAAATTTAATTTAAAAATATAGCGCGAAGGACTGTATCAGATTTAAAATAAAAAGCAACAAAAAACAAATAATTAATTAAAATAAATTAATTAAAACACAATGAAATTAATTAAATCAAAGTTATAATTATTTATAATTCGGCTCGATCAGGAACAAATGTTTAGTGATTAAACTTGAGAGATCGCTGGTTAAATTGTATTGGATAAATAATTTTAACGAAAAAAATGCAATATTAGATTGTATATAAGATTAGCGAAAATAGCGAATATTTGTAGCAAATATATGTAAAATAAAATGAATTCAAATAACAATTGGCAGATTTTATATCTTAATTTTCAATTCTATATGAGATTCACTTACCTTTTTGTCTATGGTTGGGCCCGGCTGGGGTTGGCGTGAGATACACTGCTGTGGTGATCTGCTTGGCGCTTGCTTCCGTACAGGACGAGAGTTTTTTGAAGAATGATCGATCATATGCAAAGGGGCACGTATATATTACCCCAAATCGACTAGAGGGTACTGTTTTTAGAGACCTCCGTGAATAGCCGTAAATTAAACTTAAACTGACATTCTTTACTTGCTACATAAAGGCGGATACGTTTTCTTAAGGAATCTGAAGTGTTTTGGGTTGATATATTTTTCCCAAAAACATGTTGAATTTTAGACAAGTGAATTCTCAGAACTTGACAATAATTAATCAGCCAATTTGAGTTCGAGAATTTTAAAAATAAACTAAAGCCATATTGCAATTAGGTAATATATTATGATTAAATAAAATAAGGTCATATTTGTAATAATAAAAATAAAATATTTAAATTACTTGACACTTTTCCAAACAGAGATGGTCTAAAACTTTTATATCAATAGCTTTAGGTACTATTTGAAGTACTTAAATGCTAAATGAAACTTATTATAAATGTGTACTTATTTATTTTATTCATGTATATTTTATTTTTATCTGTAATTTTGTCTATATTTCTTATAATGTTGCATTTTTGTATAATTTTTGACAATGAATTTGTTCCATTTGTTATTAATAAATAAATATATGTAATAATAAATGTTAGTTTCTTTAAACATTTATGTTTTATTACACAAAATTATTTTATATTTCTATAATGTTGCATAATTTTGACAGTGAATTTGTCCCGTTTGTTAATAATAAATAAATGTAAGTTTCTTTAAACATTTACGTTTTATTTCCCAAAATACATTCTTAATATGCACAGGATGACACCACTTTTAGTACTTTATACAATGGCATTGACGTCTAATTTACATCCTCAGCGCTAAAATAGATGTCCGAAAAACATCACAAAAGTCCGTCAAGTAAGTCCTCTGGACGTATTATGGACGTCCGATTAAGGTCCAATTAACGTCCCGGTACGTCCATTTTACGTCCGCTTGGACGTAAAATGGACGTCCATAGGACGTTTGGCGCAGCGACATTCGCACCAATATAGGACGTAAAACGGACGTAAATAGGACCAAAGCGGACGTTCGAGGGACGTACCTAAAGTCCGTGAGGGACGTACTATGGACGTACATGTGCTATTAGGGAAAGTATAATATTAATGTTTGGACATAAATCATCAAAAACATCTGGAAAATATTTTTTAAAATTTAAACCTTAAGTTAATAAAGACCATGAATCAAACGTTATTTATAAAATAATTTGTAAAGACTGCATTTATATAGACATATATTGGACAAGCACACCAATACCTACATTGAAGAATTATTGTTGCACACAAACATAGTATACAAACAATGCATTAAACACAACAGCCCTAGCCAAACATTCTCTAGAAAATAGCCATTCTTTTGATTTTGAACATGTATAGATTTTAGACAAAAGATGCATATTGGAGATGATTCGCATAAAAAAGATCCAAATTCTATCAATAATAAGACTGACATCAAAGATCTGTCCAATATGTATCATAATTTAATAAATTGAGTTGTTTTTTAAATTCACTATGGCAGATATTTTACATAAGACCCTGAACCACTCCTATTTTAAGATACCTGCCAGATGTCATCTGTCAATGTCAGATACCAATTTTTAATTCATGTTAAACTTTTTAAAAAAGTATAAACATGAAATTTAATTGTAATGTGATGTTTAAAGTTTAATAAAGTGCTTATTGAAAATAGCAAATTTGACGAAACGTTTAAGCAAACTAGTGTGAAATGTGCTGAAAAGTCTCCAAGTGTCTCAAAATCTACAGGAAATATTATCCTAACGGATGAACTCTTGAAAAATTGTTTTTTATATACAGTTAATTTACCAAAAACACGAATTAAATTTAATAAAAAAATATTTACCTAATTCTGCCTGTACTTGATCCTCTGTAGCAATGGAAATTACTTGTATATACTCATTACTTTCAACCGAACTTGGCAGCTTTATTAAAGCAATATCATTTTCTAGAGTCTTCGTCGACAAAATTTTCATGTATTATAAAATTAGATTGGTCGGTATCAAACGAAACTTGCATTTCTTCCTTTACCGTTACGTCATCTGCTCCAAGTACCACCCGTACAGAGGTTGAACTGAAAAAAGATAAATATTATTTAAAGGCATTTAAGATATGAAAGTCTTATATTATATTTAAATTACAGTAGTTTCTCTGTTTTTTGGTTTTTTAAGCATATATGTTCATCCGGTAGGGATATATGGAGTGAGTCATAAGCCTCATATCGTACTGCTCATCCATATTGTAAGTAACAGATATATTTAGATTTTATACTATCAAGTTGGTCTTTTTGTTTTTTAGCAAGGGGTCTAACCATCTAGACTAGATCATTCACAGTGTGATTGCACGAATGCAATTCGACCGCATGGCCCGCTTGTTTATCAGACCGATTATACAGCAGTTTATTGCTGTAAATCTAATTTTATTACAAAAATCTGTAAGAGACTTTCCAAGACATAGGACACTTCTGTTCAATAAATAAACGTAGGGCGATTTTTGCCATTTTTTACGATTCTCATGAGCTCAATAAAATTTATCATTTCCATTGAATTTCCGATCAATATGGAATTTCCATTGTTACAGCTTAATCTTTAAAACCTATAACAATAAATTTTCAATTTTAAGATTTGGCAACAAATATAGGCATTGGCATTTGAAATATGCCTAAAACGCAGAATTTAAACTTTTACATTCAATACAATCGCATGTCACGGGAAATGTCTCCACCAACACGGTATTAGATAGAACTTGTAGGAGAAGTTGTGTAGTCTTAAAACATGTACTTATTTAATTGAAAAACAGCAGTTTTAAATATTTTAGATCGTTTTATGAAAGTTTAAATTTGTCATTTTTAGGTATATTTCAAATGCCCCACATTTCTTGCCAAAATCCAAAACCTAAATTTCGTACTAACGATTTTGAAGATTAGGCAATATCAATAAATGTCCATAGCGGCCAGACAATTAAAGTGATACATTTTATTGGTCCCATGAAAATCATAAAAAATGGCAAAAGTCACGCACCGTTTATTTATTTATCACCTTTATAAAAACTGACCTCATTTTTGGCAAAACACAAAAATTACACACGAAAGCTGTACTCTTCACCTTTAAAAATTATTTGATTTTTGTAAATAGTACACTCTGATCAAAACATATCGGATTTTTACCGTGGAGTTGATACAAATTTTATTTAAAATTGATTTCGCGCGCGTAACTGACATTCACAATCGCCGGTCGCTTCAAGCGTTGTTTCTGAGAAAACCGTTCATCTCATACAAAAATTGCTAATAAACATTTGTATTTAAAATTATCTCAGCTAAAATTTTATTTAAAACATTTTTTTACGGCGTACAGATTCATCGTAAATCGATTTTTTTCCGTTTTCCCTCCCTACCAGTTTGCGGAAGGAAGGGGGTTGTGCTTAGGGGGAAGCTGGGGTTAGGAGTGGTAAACTTTTTTGCATAATTTTTTAATCTTCCCATTTTTGGGTCCCAAAATTGACATTCTCGGCAAAATTAAGCTTGCAAAATTCGCGGAGCATTTGATTATTATAACTTTTACAATACTTTTTTATTCTACAGGATACATAATATAAAATATTATATTCGTACGTGCGACGCTCTTGACTGAGCCATCAACAGCTGGCGATCGCCGACAACCCTGTGCGTTTCTACATTATAGAAAAGTATTGCCCTATCTTAAGCCGGCATGACAAAGCTCGTTTAAAGACGTTCTTCGCTCATTCATGTTGGCAAAAAGGAACAAAAATATATAAAGTAAAAAGAAAAGAGACCATGGTTGGCACCCTATGTTAATGTGAAATATTTACTTTTGGTAACTAGCCCAATGAAGCGTGTCCCGTCATCATCAGGTTTTGGGTTAGTTTTGTCCACCAGTGTTGCCGGTAAAAATTTTAGTAAGTTGGGTAATTTATACAATGATAAAAATTCCAATACAAATTCATTAGATCACTTCATAGTAAAATTATCACGACACTGACCGTATCCGTCACTAGTCATGTTAGAAGGTTTGATGGGGTAAGTACCTGCTATAAATCAGCTAGCAAATTCTTTTGAACCGTGTTAATTTACCGACAAACAACGAGACTGGAAGCACTGGCCATAACTAGACAATTTTGCTCTATCCCGTAATATCGTAAACCACAAATATTGTGGGTAAATACGGTATTCCATGTTTGGTTGGTTCACGTTTTTATATTTTCTCTTTTTCTATTCTTATTTTTCGTCGCCCATAAAGAACGCCACTCCATTGTCAAATTGTACATTTCGCTGCGCTGTAGTCTTGGTGTGAATTTCACTATAGATATAAAATATTTTACTTTGAGTAGTACTAGATTAGAAAATCTTCGATAACAAAATAATATTTTCTTCATAATAATAATTATTTATCTTAACAAGTATAGGCTAGAAATTAACAATAAGTTACTCACTTCTTGAGACATCTAGCTGCCGTTAAAACATATTCATTTGAAATAAGGGCTCCCGAACATCTGGTTGTATTTGTTGATCCAACGACGTCTAGGAAAACCATATAAGGCAAACTGTGTGGATAAATTAGTGTCCCACCTATCAATCCTTGTACTCCCTAAAATTATTAACACATTTATACCAATATAAATATTAAATAAGACAGTTAAAAGTAATGAATGCTATAGACTTTTTCTATAAAATGTTAAAATTATCTAAAAGTCAATACATAACATAAGAAATGTAACTAATTATTTATTCAAATTGGATTACGATTTACATAGGTATTATTAAATTAAGTGTGAGCAAAATATCCCAGGCGACAATATTTTAGCTGGTTGCAATAATATAAACGGTAGACACTGTTTTCTCTGAACCGTTGAGGTGGAAGATAGTGCCTGGCGCCGAATAATGAAAAAAGTTTTTGGAGAAAGGAAAAGATTGGGAGAGCGATAGCTCAGTAACGGACGACGGAATAAAAAGAAAAATGAGGGAGGATGACATCGAAGATGATGAAAGAGGAGAGCATACGAAGAATAGAAAGCTATCAACAAACTCACCACGGAATAAACATGAATCAAAACTAGATACCATAATTGAAATGATGAACAAGTTGGCAAAAGATGTCACAGAGATAAAGAACGACCAAAAGAGCAGTAAAGAAGCAATAGAACAGCTCATCGAAGATAATAAAAAGTTAAAGAAGGAAAACAAAGAACTAAAACAAGAAAACAAAGAAATCAAAGAGGAATTGAAAGAAATCAAGGAGAATATGGAATTTATGGAAAAACAAAGGAGGAAAAACAATGTAGTGTTGAATGGTATATTAATAGATACCTATGATCAAAGAGTAATAAAAGAGGATATGTTGAATATATTCAAAACATATATGGAAATTGAGGTTAAAATCAAAGATGCATACAAGCTGGGAACAAAAACCTGTCTGATCGAACTAGAAGATCAGGAAGAAAAAATCAAAGTCATGAAGAACAAGTACAAGCTAAAAAACCACAAGGAAAAAATATATATCAACAACGACACCACAATGAAAGAAAGACAAATACAGAAAAACTATAAGAATGATTGCACGAGAAGGGATAGATAAAGGCAACGACGTAAAGATTGGCACAAATAAATTGTGGGTAAATAAGGAAGAATGGAAATGGAATAATAAAGAAAATAAGATAGATAAACCAAAAAACTAATAAAAAGCGGAAATGGAAAAACGATGACGAAACAGGCAATGAACAAGTACATGAATAGTAGTAAAGCACTATACAAAGACCAGTGTGGAAACGTAAAAAAGAAGGAAGATGAGAAACGCTTACAAATACACAAAGCAACTGTAATCAATGAGATTAAAAGTGTGAAAACAACGACAACTCAAAAAACCAGAATACCTGAAGGATGGACAATAGGAACATGGAACGTAAGAGGTCTCAACGGCAAGGAGGCTGAACTTGTAGAAGAATTTAATAAGACTAAAATAGACATACTAGGGATCACAGAGACCAAAAGAAAAGTTAAGAGCACACAGTTTCTGGAAAATGGCCATTTTTTAATACTCAGTGGAGCACCCCCGTCAGAAAGAGCACGTGAAGGAGTTGGTTGTCTCATCAATAGAAACTTGACTAGTAGCATTAAAGATTGGGAATGTATTACCGAAAGGATCCTAAAAATTAGAATGACAACCGAAGAGAAGAAACTAGTCAACATCTTTGTTATATATGGACCAAACGATACTGAAAGAGCGAACACCAAGGACATTTTTTGGGAAAAGGCGACAGAGATCATAGATAGCGCAGAAGGTAACATAATAATAATTGGCGATCTCAATGGTAGAGTAGGCGTAAAAGACCAAGAATCCTCGGATGTACTAGGACAACACGGAGAACAAGTAAGAAACAATAATGGTCAACGAATTATAGACTTTTGTAGAGAGAATGACCTGATAATTATGAATTCCTTTTTTCAACACAAAGATGTGCACAAATATACCAGAGAAGTCAAGAGTAGAGGAGAAAAGTCCATTATTGACTATGTATTGGTAAACAGACCCTTAAGACAGTGTATCAAAGATGTCAGAGTCAGAAGGGGAGCAGAAATATATAGCGACCATTATCTGGTAGTATCCCGAACTAGTATCGGTGTGGAACAAAAACGCACGCAGAAGGTACCAAGAAAAGGAGACAGAACCCCAAGAAACCTCACCAACGCAGTTATTAGGTCATACAAGTTAGCAGATAAGAAAATAGCACAGAAATACAAAAGCTATGTGAACAATAGTCTACAAAAGCACTTAAACCAGAACTATGACTTAGAAGAAACTTGGCAAAAACTTAAAGAATCTCTCCTAGATGGGGGCAAGCAAATCTGCGGAATAGCTAAAATCAATAAAAACAGACAATGTACGAATTGGTGGAGTAATGAAATAAAAGAAGAGGTCAAATCCAAGAAGCTAGCGTGGAAAAAATATCTAGGGAACCAGAATGCAGAAAGCTATCAAAAATATAAGCAACAGAGGGCAAAAGTAAAAGATATGGTGATTGAAGCAAAAAAGAAGAGCTGGGAGGATTTTGGGAATAAGCTGGAGAAAGACTACCACACTAACCAAAAACTATTTTACAAAACTCTGAGAAGCCTAAGAACAGAGAACAGACAACAAACACCAAAACAAATTAAAAACAAAGATGGCCACATCCTCTGCGAGAACGAAAGTATTATGAACAGGTGGAGAGAATATTTCGAAGACCTTCTGACTCAAAAAGACTATAATAATGAAATAGACAACACTGAAGAAAACACATCTGAGAACCCAAACCAAAACGAAATAACAATAGAAGAAATAAGAGAAATAATACTCAGGCTCAAAAGAGGCAAGGCAGCTGGCTATGATAAGATAACTGCGGAAATGCTAAAAAATATGGGAGAAAATGGAAATGAAATGCTTAGAAAAGTTTGCAATAAAGCATGGAATGAGAACAAGATCCCAAAAGACTGGGAAGTGGGCGTTATTCTACCCATTTTCAAAAAAGGTGACAGACGAGAATGCAGCAACTACAGAGGTATAACTCTCCTGAGTATCCCTTCCAAAGTTTACGAACGAGTACTGGAGAAAAGACTACTACAAGAAGTAGACCATAAGCTGGAGCAGTCACAGAGCGGTTTCAGGAAGGGAAGAAGCATCCATGACCATATTTTTACACTCAAGCATCTAATACAAAATGCACGAAATACAAGTACGGAACTATACCAAGCCTTCATAGACCTCGAAAAAGCATTTGATAGAACCCCGCGAACTGAAATAGACAAAAGCCTAAGAAACAGAGAAGTAGACGGCAAACTCAGAAAAGCTATTATGAGCCTATACAAGAACACAAGAAACAGGGTAAGAACAGATAATATGGAATCAGAAGAGTTTAGAGTCAATGATGGCTTACGACAAGGAGGTGTACTAGGCCCCATCCTGTTCAATATTGTACTAGATGATGTAATGAAGGAAACTAGAGAAGAAACATCGAGATTATTTGTTGGACATAGAAACCTGGAAATGATACAGATTGCGGAGTGCGCATTTGCAGATGACCTCGTCGTATTTGGAAGAAACGAGGACGCACTTAAGAGAAACCTCCAAATATGGAGAGATAAACTTGAGAAACGCAATCTGAGAATTAATGAAAGTAAAACCAAAGTGATGGTATGTGGGAAAACAGACCAACATACAAACATTAAAATCAATAACTATACTTTAGAACAAGTAGAAACCTTCAAATACCTGGGAGTGCAACTAGAGAGTAAGGGTACACAAGAAGCAGAGATAAATAATCGAATAGCAAACGCTTCCCGGATATACCACGCAATTAAGAGCACATTCCTATCGAAAAAAGAAGTATCCCAAAAAGCAAAGATAGCTATCTACAACACAGTTTTTGTACCTATCTTAACATTTGGATGTGAAAGCTGGACGCTCACCACCAGACTAAAAAGTAAACTGCAAAGTATATCAATGAAGTATCTAAGAAGAGTACTAGGGGTGACCAGAATGGACAGGATACGGAACAATGAAATAAGAGAACGCCTTAAAGTCCAGTCAATAGAGAAGAAAATCGAAGAAGCCCAACTGAGATGGTACGGCCACATGGTAAGGATGGATAAAAAAAGCCAAGTGAAACAAGTGTGGGAAGCGAGAAGAACCTTGAAAAGACCGAGGGGCAGACCCATGAAGACCTGGGACGATGAAATTGCCGCCATCCTAGACAGGAGAGGAGTCACCAAGGAACAAGCGAAGAAGTTGGCAAGCAACAAGAAGAATTGGAGGAAGTTTGTACATGAAAACTAAAAGAGACTTTACACCCAACACCTTAGGGTAGAAGGGTTATTGATTATATATATATATATATATATATATATATATATATATATATTATATATAATATATATATATATATATATATTATTAAATTAACTCAGCTACATCATAACCATTATGGCCGTAAGCTCTCATCCTAAGAATCTTTATTCTTTCATGTTGGGTAAATATATTGAAATGTAAAGACATCTAAAGATAGTTCATATACAGAAAACCATTTGAAATAATATTATTACTAATGACAATAATATATACACAACCAAACTTATATGGAATTATCTGATGTTTCTTACTATGTCAATCAAGTTTAAAATCCTACATACGAAGTCAAAGAATATTGATTTTCAAGCAATTTAATCAACAATACATAAAAATTAAAGAAAACGGTAAACTCTTGAAATAATAAATTGAAACCACTTGTTTTAAAGCCAACAAAATAAAAAATTTCAATGTAAAACGAATAATGTTTAAATTATTTTTATTTATTTATATTTTTTTTTAGTAGACAGTGTAACCACTTCTAGCCCTTATGGAAGCTTCTGTTGTCGTGGGCATGCTTCTAAACAAGTTTTCAATACTTTTTAGTGGCAAGTCGCTCCATTCTTCAAGGGCAGCTTGTATTAGTTGTCAGTGTTTTGTGGATTCTCCCGGTGATCACTAATTCTTCTTTTAAGCATATCTCACAATTGCTCTATAGGGTTAAGGTCGGATAAATAAGCAAGCCACTCCAGAACAGTGATATCTTTTGCTTCAAGGAAGTCTGTAGTCACTCTGCTGGTATGTGGAGGCACTTTATCATGCATGAAAATTATATTTTCTTCCATCCCACTGTACCTCTCCAAAACTTAATTAGCGGTTCTAGAACCAAATTAACATACCTACGAGCCGGTAAAATTGGTTGGATGGAAATTAAAGGAGTTTTGTTATATATGTGAACAGATCTGGCAATTTCTATTTTTACTTGGCTTTCTTGCCCCTCCAAGTACACCAATTCGTCGGTCATCTGATTTTTCACAAATCTTGGTTTTGTCTGAAAATAGCACATTTTTCCAATTTTCAATCTTCCCGTTTTAGTGTTAAAGGCACCAATTTAGGCGATCAATATTGAGCGTAACTGTCTATTGCTGTATATTCCGTAATTAGGATGTCTTTTTCTTATTGTTTCAACTGAAATATTTACATCTGCAGCTTCCAAAAGTTGCCTTTGGAGCTGTGGGTGAGAAATTTTTGGGGCTCTTCTAGCTAATTGGACAATGAAACAATCGTCGTGAGCCATATTATTTTTTCGCGACTTTGTCCTAGTATATTTTTAAGAGTTACTAATGTCTGATACATATTATAAGTTTTTAACAAAACGCCTTGTGTTACGCCTACCACTGCAGCTAAATCCCTCTGAGACATCCCTTGTTCTACAAGACCAATAATTTTTCCTTCCCCTTTCCACATGCGTTAACCCCACATAAGACATATTTTTGTTTTTGGACGCAAAAGTAAGATAATTTATTTTCGTTTAATTTACAACCAAACTAAATAATTTATAACGTACCGAGCTATTATGTTATCTGATTATTTTATCGGTTTGTTAATTTTCAATAAAAACCTTTATTCTTCGCAACAATAACAAGTTTAAAAAAAAAATATTGATTATAATAAGAAATGACAGAAAAAGTGCAAATTAGTATTTTTATTACAGATAATTTTATTTTAAGGCAACTTACTTTTGAGGCAATCAAGTTAGTCCAGATTTAACAATTGTAATTTTAACTCCAAATAGTATAAAAGATTAAAAAAATATAATGCAGTAATCATAATTACATAGTAAAAGTAAAAGTAAAATATAATGGGTGTATCATTAAAAAAAATTAATACTTATTTTTATAAACCTATCAAAAATAGAAATATTAGGAGTTATCTTACTCTTTGTACACACCTAATAATAAATAGATTTATTAAAGACAAAACTTACCAAAGCGGTGAAGGTAACCAAAAATAATATTAAAACATAAATTTTCATTTTTGTCTTTCCTAATTTTATAATTAAGAACTATACATTTTTCATGCAAAATACGTTTTATAAAAGGTTTTAGGATAACTATCTAATCAACAGTAGATATGCAAATTTAGATACTTTGTAATAGATAGGTCTAAAATCTAATATATTATTTAATTAATTAGTTGATAACGTAACAAAAGAAATAAGTATGTTAGTCATAATCAAATCAAAAAATATATATTAACCACTCCATCTAACTCTTGAAGACACGTAAGATTCCTGATCTTGATGAGAAATCTTGATTTGTAAGAGCCTCTGGTCATTGTTAACACAAGAAAGTCAATATGGTTTTGAAGCTATTTCCTTGTAGCATATTATCTTTTAATTAATATATTCTGGCAATTAACTATAAATGTAAAACTTCAAATAACTTAATTAAAGTTTTGACTTAAAGGTTTTAAAATAAACCAGTAAAGATTTCTCAGCCAGAAGCCGAAACATCAAATAGACTATTGGATACTGTACATAAGAATACCAGTATGACAGGCGAAACAAACATAGTTTCATTTATTATTGCTTATAGACCAGGACTCGATTGGATTAGCTTACGCTCTATGTACCTACTCTTAAGAACAATTTTGTAACAGTCTCATTAAATTTGATTTTTTTTGTAAAATTTTGTATTTTTCATTATTTTTGAATGTTGTAAAAACACATTTGTTCTTCTTCTTAGGGTGCCTCTCCGTTACAAACGTTGGCGGTAGTTCTGTGTTGGCTAATAGCTGTGTTGAGGTGTTTCTGTACCATGCTCTCAGGTTAGCAAGCCAGAATATTCTTCTTCGTCCTGGGGCCATTTTTCCTTCAATTTTACCTTGCAAAATGCATTAAAGTGGCTCGTATTTGATTAAATTTCTCATTATATGTTCCAAGTATTGGAGCTTAAGGTCCTTCACGATGTTGACCAAATCCGCGGTTGTGGTTATCCTCCGCAGTACTTCTTCATTGGTGACTTCATCTGTCCATAGAATCTTCAGGATCCTTCTGTATAACCAAGCTCACAAACCTGAAGTTTTGATAGAGTTTCCGCCTTCAATGTCCACGTTTCTACTCCGTACAGAAACACTGAATACACGTAACATTTGAGGAGCCTTATTTTTGTTGCTAGGGTGACGTCATGGCTCTTGAATACAGAGCTCATCGTCAAGAATGCACTTTTTGTCTTTCCGATGTGACATTTAATCTCTTGGGTATTGTCATACGACTCATTGATTATAGTTCCCAAGTAGTTGTACTGTGAGACACGTTCAATTCTCATTTGGTTCACATACAGATTTGCCCCAGTTATGTTTGCCTTGCTGATGATCATTAACTTGGTTTTGCTGGTTTTTATATCCAGTCCATATGTTCTACTTGTTTCCAGTATTTTGTTCATTAAGTTTTGTAGCCCTTCTATGGTATTGGAAAACACTATTGTATCATCTGCATACCGCAGGTTAGTGAGCTTGAGCTTGTATATTTCATTAAATATTTCAGTTATTATTTTTATTTGTTTTGCATCTAATAGCTTTAGCAATTTTGCAGGAATTTCATCAAGTCCCGGTGCCTTTCTATCCCTCATTTTTCTGACTGCTGCCGTTATTTCTACTTGTAGGATTTCGGGACCTGAATTTTCTTCAATGGTGTGCTCTTGTATTGTTCTAAGGTCATGGAAAAGTTTCTCCAAGTATTCTTCCCATACCTTCTTTTTATCATGTTTGGTTATGGCAAGATTGCCTTCATCATCTGTTATTTTCTGCTGTTGCGTTTTCGGAACTTTCCAGCTATTTACTTCACCTTTTAATGAACATTGAACTTATTATATCGACTCTGATACTCCTCTATTTCTTGACATTGTTTTGTTTTTTTCTTTCTCTTTGGCTTTCTATATTTGTCTTCTGACGATGGTATGTATTCTCTTTTCTTTATTTTTTCTCTTCTGATCCATAAGTTCAAGTATTTCATCGGTCATCCACGATTTCCGTTTTTCTGTATATTTCTTTAGGTGTTCTCATTGTTTCTTGTATGATAGTCAGACTTTCCTCTATAGTTCCTATATTTCTGCATTTTAGCACTTCGTATTGAGGTTTTCACTCACCTTCAGTCAAACATTGGGATCTTTCAGTTTTCTAACATTATACTTCTTCATCGACTTACTTGTAACCTTCTTCATTCTAATTTTGAAATTACCCACAACTGGTACAATATCAGAATTTATGTCTATCCCCGAATATGTTTTAACAGATGTACAGCTGTTCCTATACCTCTTATTTACTAGTATGTAATCAATTGATTTCTTACAATCCTTCCCACAGAATCCTGTGGAGATTTCCGGGTGTACAGCTTCCTTGGGTGTAGCTTAAACCAGGTGTTTATTATTACTGTATCTCCCCGATCGTTCCGGTTTCCTAGACCAAATGGTCCAACTGCAGATGATGTTTTGCTGGACTCAATTTTGGCGTTGAAGTCACCCATGACAATTGTTATGTCTTGCTTTTTCAACCTTTTCACGACTTGATTAATTGCTATGGTATAGTTCTTCTATCTCTTTTTTGTCCTTCTGTTATAGGTGCATACACTTGAATTATATTGATGTCGATTGGTCTTGCTTTAAGTTGTATGAGCATCACTCTTGCTGAGATTGGGATGAAGTTAACAGATTTTGTCAACATAATGCCGACACCTAATTCATGTTTGCTGGTATCTGTTCCAGAATAGCAAACGCGGCGTTCCCCGATATTTGCGGTTCCTGTACCTGGATAATGCATTTCGCTTATTCTCAGAATATTTTATTTCATGTATGCCATTTCTTGTATTGCATTATGGTGCTGTTGCATTATATATGTTCCATGTGCCTATTTTAATGTCATCTTTTTATTTTAATCTTTTGCTTATACTTGTAACTGCTCCTCCCGGACATTCGATTGAGGAACTTACTCCGGAATTGAATTTCGCTGCAAGCATAGTCATTTGATTCCACTAGGACTTTTTCCTCATCTCTATACCGTTGACCGCTTCCTACGGTTCTTCCGTCTTTGAAGCCAGTTTCCTAACTTCAGGACAAAGGGGTGCCCTACCATTTACTAGCTCCTCCACCCGAAGTTGTTGGCCAGTAAACGGAGGATTGCATATACCGGCAATCGCTTGTTGGAATTTTCGCTATATATGGCTACCCTCACTTAGTTTAGCCTGCAGACCAACGCAGTTACCCGGGTGTGGCACGTGGAGTCGTAAGTGAGAGTTAGTTGTCTTATGAGGACCAGTTATCAAGAACTATCTCCCGTCTATGACGCTAGATATGCTCGTTCTGATAAAAGGTACTACCTCTATAACACAACTCTACATTCCTGTTAAACCACTTTTGTTAAAGTCCGTCAAATAGTGAACACATGAAGTGGAAGCAAAATTGTAAATAATGATACTTGTTTTCCAGGATTACAAGCCTGTCTACCGTTAATTTTTATTCTAGTAACATTTTAACATTCAATTTTTACTCTTTGTGTTAAAATGTTACTCTCTGATTCCGAGTAAGTACCACATTGGAGAAGTTTAGAAGTTTTTTTATCGTATGTTAAAGAAGAATGTTTTAGCCTTTTTGTACTACAATCTGCTCAAATTAATATTGTATATGTCAGTAACGGAAGTAGTCGTTTCAAAGCAGTTAAAAGTAGTAATTAACAGTCGTTCGTTAGATATAGCTCGTTATAGGTAAAAATAGTCGAAACCAACCAAAACGCCGATTCAGTAATTCAGTTATATTAGAAGTTACCCATTTTTTGTGTCTTTCCTTACCTGAGTACAGCTAAAGAAAAATTAGAATTAATCAGTTGTAAGCATGGTTATAAATTTGATATATAATGACAGGGTTTTCGCTTTTAAAAATTTGTTTTGTATAAACTAGCATTCTGCCAGCCCCACCACAAAGATACGTTTCGGTGCTTGTTTAAGTTTCTCCCCTGATTTTAGTGGATATGAGATCCAATAGTCGGAACAAGTCAATTATTTTCATTTACGGCAAGCCAACTATTTACGGGAAAAATAGGAGGAGTATTCTAAACATTGCACGTTGCCTATCTGTTTTTGTGTGTAAATTGCGACTGTCAAGAAAATGTTCTCAACCGTTATTATAACTTGTGCTTAGGCATGCGCTTTTCAGAAGCATATTATAAAGCAATAGATTCATAATTTTAGATTCATAATAGGATATATCAAAGGAGATCTTTTATATTGTGTGTCTTCTTTGCACTATTTTAAATCCTACAATAAGATAATAATTTAAAAATATTGCTGCATTCCATGAAGAGCCTGGTAGTAGTAAGTTGATTTTATCTATTAATATCAAGAATTAGTAAACAAATATATAGAAAATTCGTTACCTAATTAAAGAGAGAAAGAAGAAAGAGAGTAAAATTTTAACACAGAGAGAAATAATTTAACGTTAAAATTTTACTATAGAGCAAAATTACAACATCTCAGAAACAATAATAATGCTAAAAATTCAAGCACGGAACTGTAATATTAATATGATCCAAGTCTATACTCCCACAGCTGATAACACCGAAGATGAGATCGAAAAGTTTTATTAAGAATTTGCACAATACAATCAAGTTAATAAAATCTAGAGATATAACTTATATTTTAGGAGACTTTAATGCAAAAATTGTAGTAGATACAGTTGAAAATATAGTTGGACAGTTCGGACTAGGAACTAGAAACGAGAGAGGAGAAAGGCTCAAAGAATTCTGCCAAGAAAAGAATATGGTAATTGCCAATACTTGGTTTAAGCTTCCTAAAAGAAGACTATATACATGGACGTCTCCTTCACATACAGAAAAACCACATTGTCAGAAACCAGATAGACTTTATACTCGTAAATAGCAGATGTAAAAACTCTATAGCCTCAGTTTAAAACTTATCCTGGAGCAGATGTTAACTCAGAAAACAATCCGTTAGTGGCTGACGTGAAAATAAAATTAAAAAGAATT